TCCTTAGAAAAAACAACTGACCTAGAAAATAGATGCAGGAGGGATAAATTAAAAATTATTGGACTACCTGAAAGCCGTGATCAAAAAAAAGAGCCTAGACATCATCTTTCACAAAATTATCAAGGAAAACTGCCCTGATATTCTAGAACCAGAGAGTAAAATAGAAATGGAAAGAATCCAGTGATCACCTCCTGAAAGAGATCTCAAAATGAAAACTGTCAGGAATATTATAGTCAAATTCCAGAATTCCCAGGTCAAGGAGAAAATATTGCAAGCATCCAGAAACAATTCAAGTATGGTGGAGCCACAATCAGGATAACAAAAGATTTAGCAGCTTCTACATTAAAGGATCAGAGGACTTGAAATATGATATTCTGGTAGGCAAAGGAGCTAGGATTACAACCAAGAATCACCTACTGAGCCAAACTGAGTATAATCCTTCAGGGGGACATGGACATTCAATGAGATAACAGACTTTCAAGCATTCTTGATGAAAAGACCAGAGCTGAATAGAAAATTTGACTTTCAAATATAAGATTCAAGAGAAACATAAAAAGGTTAACAAGAAAAGAAAATCACATAGGACTTAATTTTAAACTGTTTACATTCCTACATGGGAAAATGATATTTGTAGCTCATGAGAGCTTTCTCATTATTAGGGTAGTTAGAAGAAGTATATATAGACAGAGGGCACAGGTATGAGTTGAATATGAAGAGATGATATCAAAAAAATAAATTTAAGGCATGAGGGAGGAATGTACTCGAAGAAAGGAAAAGGGAGAGATAGAATGGAGTAAATTATCTCACCTAAAAAAGGCAAGAAAAAGCTTTTACAGTGGAGGGGAAGAGAGAGGAGATGAAAGGGAGTCGGTGAACCTTACTCTCATCAGAATTGGCTCAAAGAGGAAATGACATACATACTCAATTTGGTATGATTATGTATCTTACCTACAGGAAAATAGGAAAGGGGGGGGGCGTGGTGATAGAAGGGATGACAGATTAGAGGAGGCAGTAGTCAGAAGTTAAACACTTTTGAGGAGGGATTGGATGAAAGGAGAGAGAGAATTAAAAAATGAGGATGGGAAATAGAGTGGAGGGAAATACAGTACCTGTGGAAAAAAAATTTGAGGCAAGTTTCTCTGATAAAGGCCTCATTTCTCAAACATATAAAGAACTGAGTCAAATTTATAAAAATAAGAGCTATTCTCCAATTGATAAATGACCAAAAGATATCAACAGTTTTCAGGTGAAGTAGTCAAAGCTATCTATTTTCGTATGAAAAAATACTCTAAATCACTATGGACTGGAGAAATGCAAATTAAAATAATTCTGGGTTACTCCCTCATACCTATAAGATTGGCTAAAGGACAGAAAAGGAAAATGATGGTGGAGGGGATGTGGGGAAAATGAGACATTAATGCACTGTTAGTGGAGTTGTGAACTGATTCAAACGTTCTGTAGAGCAATTTGAAATATGCCCAAAGGGCTATAAAACCATGCACACTCTTTGACCTCACAATATCACTACTAGGTATGTATCCCCAAAGAGATAGAAAACAAATAAAAAAAAGGACCTACATGTACAAAAAATATTTATAGAAGCTCTTTACTTGGGGCAAAGAATTAGAATTTGAGGGGGTGCCCATCAGTTGGGAATGGCTGAACAAATTGTAGTATGTGATTGTGATGGAATACTATTGTGCTGTAAGAAATGATGAGCAAAATGCTCTCAGAAAAACCTGGTAAGACTTACATGACCTGATGCAAAGTGAAATGTACTGTGTAGAAGGTAGCAGAACTATTGTAAGATGATCAGCTATGAATGACTTAGCTGTTTTCAGCAATACAGTGATCCATGACAACTCTGAAGGACTTATGATGAAAAATGCTATCTGTCATCAGTGAAAGAACTGATGGTGTCTGAATACAGATTGAAGAGTACTTTTTAACTTTATTTTTCTTGAGGGTTTTTTTGGTGTATATATTTTTTTCAAAATGTGACCATTATGGAAATGTTTTGCATGACTATGCATTTATAACCTATATTGAATTGCTTGCCTTCTCAATAGGGGGAGGTAGCAAAGTGTGAGGAAGGGAGAGAATTTGGAACTCCAAGTTTTAAAAATGAATGTCAAAAATTGTTTCTAGATGTAACTGTGGAAAAAGAAAATGCTAAAGAAAAAAGAAAATGGAGAGAAAAAATGCATATATATACATACATACATATACATACACACATACAGAGACACACACACATATACACACACACACATGTCTGTGTGTGTGTATAGATAGAGAGATAGATAGATAGATAGATAGATAGATAGATAGATAGATAGATGGATAGATACACACATACACATATACCCTAAATGGGGTCATGAAGAATGAGAAACAACTGAAAAACAACTGAACAAGAAAAATAAAATATTATTACTAATGAATGTTGAGTTATTGAATTTTTTTGACAATGTGCTCTTGTATCATTCCTTTACTTCTTCAACCATTTCTCTGTCTCTTTTGCTTGAGACATTCCTGCCACTGAAATGTGGAGATCCCTCTTAGGTTTTGTCCCCACACTTTCTTTTTTTCTGTGTGCTCCATACCTTGACAATCTCTTCCAACCCCATGGCTTCAATGATCACTTTTATGCAAATGACTCTGAAATCTAACTCCTTAGATTCAAACTCTTCCCAGGACTTCAGTCTAGCATTACCAAGTGCCTGTTGTATATTTCCACTTGGATACCACCCACAGCACCTCAGATTTGTTATTCAAAACTTATCATTTTGTCTCAAAAACCTGCCTTACCTCCCAGTATCCCTCTATGTCTCTTAGTGGCATTATAATTCCCCCAGTCATGCAATTTCATGAACTGGAACCATATTTGACTTCTCTTTCTTTCTTGACTCACTCATCCAATGAGTTACCAAGCCTTGTTGATTCGATTTCATTTGAACTTTATTTCTACTCCTCTTGCAGAAAGTTAAGACCCTTATCAACTTTTATTTGCATTATTGTAGTAGCTACCTACTACACCTCAACCCCAGGTAAGTCAGGGGGATGTCTATCCAAACACATGAAGACTTGCCCTGGTGGAATGGACAGATGAGAATAAGTTGTTCCAACGGCCATGAAGGTGAGTGAAGCAGGGGCTATGGAGCCCTTAGAGCTTGGTCAGACATCAAAGATGCCAACACATCCTGGGCCATCACCATTCATCTTGATTTTTTGTCTTGCCACTAGACTTCAATGACTGTGGAAGAGAAAGTGAAGCTGATAACTTTGTGCAATTCTGCCTCACTTAAATCTAATTCACATTTAAGTCAAGATATCTCCCATGATGTCAATGGTCCTCTCTGAAAATGAAGGACAAACAACAATAGCTATCTTTGTCACTATAGATGACTTAATCTTAATTAATCATGAGTTCTTTCTGGGTCTTGTTTTCCTCATCTATAAACCCTTATCCTAGCATTTGAGGCCCTACAAATCTTGTTCCCAGCACCTCACCCTTTTACAGTTTTTTCTCATACTGATTTTCTTCAATTATTCTCAGTTCCAGCAGAACTAGACCATTCTTATCTTGACCTTTTAAAAGTTCTTCATTTAAGCCCCAAAGATATATTCTCCTCCATGAAATCATTTCTCCTTCTTTTGGCTAACAGCATTCTCTATCTCCTCAAATTTTTCATTGAGGTTGGTATGGACCTCTCCTTTGCACTTATCTTTCTCTTTGTATCTATTAGCCATGCATTTCTTATCCTTCTGTCTATCCCTATGATAATCTGTGTACTTTTATTCTTCCGCCTATTAGATTATAAATTCCGTCAGAGCAGGATTTGTGTCCTATTTCTGTAACCGTAATATCTAGCACAATGCTTTTTATGTAGTAGTCAGAAAAAAAAATTTGTCAAATTAAATTAAATTTAATTGACTAATCACTATTTCCTAAATATGCCCTGCACTTTCCCACCTCCTACTTTTCTCCTTCTATTCCTTCCACCTACAATACTCATTTCTTCCTTCTTACTTCCCTTACTGCTGAAATTCTGCTCATCATACAAGACTCAGCTCAAATGATACTTTTTCCATGCTATGATCATCTATATTCACATAGGACTTTGGTTATACATCTTTTGTGACACATTTCCACCAACCCTATGTTTGTGTATATGTCTAATCTCCATGGATTGTAAGGTTTTTGAGGGTGGGGTCAAAGTTCTTTTTTCCTTTGTATAATCCACATTGCCTTGGGTATAATAGATACCAGGAGTGTCCTGGAACCTTGCATGCCAGAGCCAATATTATATTTTTAGTAGAGCATTTACAACTTCAAAATCAGCAAAAACTACAAATAAAGGCTTGATTTATTATTTTGTTGATTGTCTAGACTTAAGAAAGTGATGGGAAATATGTTAACAAATGTAGGTTATATTTAAAAGTTTATCTTGGAGAACCAGTTATTAAACATTTACCAGCATACCCCAGCAGGCCTCCAATAAATGACTGATGAATGGATAAATGAATGAACTAATGAGTTGGTCCTACAACACAGACCAGCAGAAAGTATAGTTGGAGTAGAAAAAACCACTGGTTTTGAAAAGAGAGAACCTGCATTCAAATCCTAGCTTTGCTGTTTGCTTTTAATGTTACCCTGGGCAAGTCATTTAACCCTTCTAGGCCATGGCTTCCTCATTTGTGAAATGAGAGGACTGGACTAAATCAGGGATTATTAAATAATACTGACCCCTTTGGTAGACGGGTAAAGTTTATGAACCCTATCTCAGATTTCTGTTTTTAAAGCATAAAACAGACAAACAAGCCCCCCCCCCCGCCCCCACCAATTTCTCACCAACATATTGTATTAATTTGGTGTCTTTCTCCTTTACCTCTCTAGGTTCTTAAAGTAGGAGAAGGTATCATCTCTTCTATGATGACCTAGGGTTCTAAGTGATGTCATGGCCAGGGGAACATGAGTTCTATACCTGTGGGTAATCTCCTCTAGGCTACATGGTAGGTTGGAGATAGGCTACTTGTGGTTAGCACCAAGGTTATTTATCATTAAGCTGAACTTTTTAGTTAGGAGAACAGTCAGTGCATTGTGATATGTTTGGCAGGTAAGTACCACAACATGGTTATAATGGCTAGAGGAAAGTCTGAACTTCTTAACCTGGGTGGTCCTTCCTGTCCTCTTCTTTTAACAGTGATGGATCTCAGAAATAACCTGGGGTGGTTTTCAGGCAGCAGATTTCATGTTCTTGGCTTCTACCTGAGTTCATCTTAACATTACTGTAGTTGCTTCATGTGTTCTGATTTACAGGCACACCTGCTGAGCTCTTCTTCATTTCAGATGGTACTATTGAAATATAGAAAATATGCCCAAGGGAACACACCAATTGCTGCGTAAATTTGCAGGTAAAATAAAGTCTTGCATATGACTATTTTCCACCTAATCCAATTAGCTCAAAAGGTTATCTTTGTACAGGGATTTCTTTTCTTTGTATTTGCAAGACAGCACAGAAAAATTAATTACTTTTCCTTTTCTCTCCATAAAATTTTCACCCTAAGTTTTAAGCTTTACTAAAAACCAGTGAGAGCTGTCAGCACCAGAGACACCCTTGCCTAACTCTTTAGCTTTTCCTCTTACCCCCTATTTAGCCAACAGCAGTTCCAAAACCCTTTTGTGACTCCAGGCAGCAAGAAATCTGACCAGGAGTTGGGTAGGTGAGCTTTTCCCCTTCCCTTCCTCCCGAGCTCAGGCTAGGGAAACAACAACTCTGTTCATTCTGATGAAGACCACCAAGACTTACCTCTTGCTCTGCCCCTGCCTTCTAGACTTCTAGACAGATTCTCTGCAGTCCCCCAGCACTTCCACTGATCTTACTTATGTAACCTAAAGACCTCCAGGCCTTGTCATCTGCCCTGATGATGTATCTTTAGGACTTCTGAGTTTTTCCATCTGCCCTGAAACTGAGCTTGCTTTTATGTGTTTGTCTGACCTGTCAGTGTATGAGTTCCTTGACAGCTGGGACTGTCTCAATTATTCTATTTGTATCCCCAATGCTTAGTACATATTAAGAGCTTAATAAATTCTTTTTCATTTGTCCTCCCTCCCTCCTTCCTTCCTTCCTTCCTTCCTTCCTTCCTTCCTTCCTTCCTTCCTTCCTTCCTCCTTCCTTCCTTCCTTCCTTCCTTCCTTCCTTCCTTCCTTCCTCTCCTTCCGAGAACTGGTTGTTAAGCATGTTTAAGTATACCACTGGAGGTAGCAAGCAACCTTTGCGAAAGCATTCAGGTGGAATATGAAATGTTATGTGTGGGGAATAGCAAATAGGTCAATTTGGCTTGAAAAATAGTGTGTAAGAGGAAGTGCGATATGAAATAAGCCTGGAAAGAGAGATTAGAGTCCAGATTGTAAAGGGCTTTAACTGCCAAACAGAAGCGCTTATATTTTATCCTAGAATCAGTAGGGAGCTACTGAAGTCTTTTGAGTGGGAGGGATGGATCTAGCCAAATCTGTGCTTTAGGAATACCAAGTTGGCAGCTGAGAGACTGGAGACACAGGGAATGATTTGGAGGCTACTTCAGCAATCCACAAGGGAGATGATGAAGGCCTACACTGGGATGTCGGCCAAGCAAACAGAGAAGAGGGGATAGATGTGAGACCTGATGATAGAATCAACCAGACTTGGCAACTGAAGGGATATATAGGTAAGGGAGAAAGAAGGGTCCAGGATGACTCAGAGGTTAGGAATGTGTGACTAGAAGAATGACAGCCCCTTCAACAGAAATAGGGAAATTAGGAAGAGAGGTAGGTTTAGGTCAGGGGTTGTTAACCTCGTTTGTGTCTTAGATCCCTTTAGCAGTCTGCTAAAGCTGATGGACACATCCCCAGAGTAATGTTTTAAAATAATTAAAAGAAATGCTAATTTTCACTTAGAGGTTAATGAAGAAAATAGCTTTAATTTTTTTCCAACCCAAGTTTATCGGTACCCTGAAATCTGTGCATGAACCTCTCTAAGATTCTGTGGATATTGAGTTAAGAACCTTAGGTTTAAGGGAGAAGACAATGAATTACATTCTAGATGATGCCTATTATATATCCAGGTGGAAATGGATTCAGGACTGAAGCTTAAGAAAGATATGAAGGTTGGAAATGTGTAAGTGTGGCTGAAAAAGATGGGATTAAAAACCTCTAATGACTACCTTCAAGTACCCACAGGCACATTTTACATTCCAATTGGTATTAGATTTATTTTTGTGAATGTTTTATCTCCCCAACTAGAATGTAAGCAACTTGATGGCAGGGCTTTATTTATTAATTATTTTCATGCTCCCATTGAGCACAGTACTCTGTATATTGTATGTATAAGGTAAGTGTTTCTGTTTTTAACGAATTGATGGAAACACTCAGGAGTAGTAGAGCATATGGAGCTATATTCACTCGTCTGTAATGAGACATGCCCAAGGGAAACTACCTACAGCCTGCTTTCCTGTGGTTGAGAGAGAGAGGGAGTAATCTTTTTTTATGTTAATTTGCTTCCTGATTCTGGTTGTTTTTTCTTTCCGCTTGGATATGTGGGTAGCCTCTCTTCTGTCTTGCTCTTATCCTGGTCAATTTTCTAGTTTGGGAGATGAATGTAAGAATGTAATATCTCAGTGTTTTGTTTTGTTTTGTACTCTGGCGCTTTCGCTTATTTCCTGGTTAGCAACAATTAAATTTTAAAATTTGGGTGTTTTTTGTTTGTTTTGGCTTTTTTTTTTTTGATGCAGATTACTTTAGGGAAGAGCAAAGTTATGAGTTGTTAAAGGGCTCTCCCTGGTGGCCACTAGAAATAACTTCAGCTTGAACAAACATCTGTTAAGTATCCTCTAAGTATAGAGTATTGTGTGACACCCTGAAGGAAAAAAATATAGAGATATATGTGTGTTTGTATATGTATGCACACATGCACATATGTGTATGTATAAATGCATGTGTGTATGCATGCACGCAATATGTGTGTACATAGGTGCATGCCTATATATACATATAGACATATGCACACACACGTATACACATGCACAACTACATACACACACATATAAATATATATATATAAAAGTTATGATCCTTGGCGTCATAGGGCTTCCAAACTAGTAGGGGATATATTGCATATATAAGTGACTATGATACGAATTCATATATGGCAACTACATAAGAGAAGTGAAAACTACTGTTGAAGGTGGGGTCAGAGACTGGGAAGTTGGAGGACTGAAGAATTTCAGAGGAATGGAAGAGCCTTTAGAGCTAAGTGATAGATCTGAGGTTCTTCTGAAAGAGGCATACTTGAAGAATTGCCTGGAAGGCACGCTGATGGGCATGCACCCAACAATGAGATCATCCATGAATGGTCCTCCAACTTCCCAGTGTCGAGCAGGTCCCTCCTTTATATGCCTCTTCAGATCTCTTTTCTCTTCTATTCTCACACTGAAGCTTTTCCTCTGGTTTGTTTTTAATGGGGTACTTCATCCTCTCTGATAAACTAAAAAATGGAGAAGATTTCTCTGAAATCTGCTAATCTTCTCTTCTAGAACAGAGTGATCAGGCTGCACTTTTAGTTTAGACAGTAGTCCATGGAAAAAGTTGAATTGTGGTGGTTTCTGATTTTCTACTGAGTGGCATTGAGGGTGATATTCATTGACCTGATAACAACACATTCTTCCCAGAATGTGTACCCAAGATGGCAAAGAGAATCTTCTAAGACTTGTCAATCCAGATGACTACGACCCAGTTCTGGTGATTTAGACAGGCATTACAGTTTCAAAAGTAATTCAGGAAGCATTGTTGATAATAAAATAGTGGGGTAAGGTAATGAAGACCTCAGGGGCATAGGTAGTATTTTCATTACTGCTGCTGACTGAAGGAAAACTTTAGAAGAGAAAGGCAAATTTAGGAAATGAACAGCTAGTTAAGAAAATGTGTCTGAGAATGGGATTTGGATTTTGGATCACAGTTTAAAATTCAGGAGTGACAGAGTCATGACCAGAAATGGAATATACCTAATAAAGCTGATAAATGATATGTTGGTCTGGGAGTCTTGTAAATCTAGTCAAAAGGGCTTTAAACTAAAAATGAAGAGGAAGAGAGAAAACTACCTGTGAATATCTACTTAATTAGACATCATAAAGAACTGTCCTAACATAGGAAAAATCATAATAGTGATTACACAGAAATTCACAGGAGGGAAAACAAATCTAAGAAGGAGCCAACAATAAAACCTATGACCTCAGTTTTCTCTACACAAATGTGCAAAATCTGTAAGTAGTAGAGAAAGCATTTGAAACACATTCCTCTGGCTCCAAATCCACCACTCTATCCATCTTGTTCAAAAGGAATAGATTTTGCTAAGTGAAATGAGCAGAACCAGGAAAACACTGTTTACACTATCAGCAGCTTTGTGTGATGATCAACTATGAATGACTTCTTTATCTTTTCTCAAAAAAACAATGATCCAAGACAATTACTAAGGACTCATGGTGGAAATGCTATCTACGCCCAGATAAAAAACTGATGGATTCTGAATGCAGATGGAAGCATATATTTTTCACTTACTTTATTTTTTTGGTGTTTTTTTTTTCCCTTTGGTCTGTTTCTTCTTTCACAACTGTGACTAATATGGAAATATGTTTTACATAATTGCACATATATAACCTATATAAAATTGCTCACCATTTTAGGGAGAGGGGAGGGAGGGAGAAAAATTTGAAACTCAAAATATTGTAAAAATGAATGCAAAAAATTGTCTTGACATATAATTGGGGAAAAATACTATTAAAATAATAATAATAATTTTTAAGAGGAATAGATTTTAGAGGAAGCATGGCATTGTGGATACCAGCTCACTATCAAAGTCTGGAATGCCTGATTTTGAATCCTGTCTCTGACCTGTATCTGTTGTGTTACCCTGAGCAAGACAACTCTCAAAAACTCTAAAGTTGCAGAGAACATGCTACTCTGCATTGGTAGAAAAAATTCTTCACCTGGCACCCGCTATATTCACAACATCATAGGTATTGTTGAAACAAAACAAAAATGCAAAAAAGAAATACATCAGTTAGAAAAGATAGCATGGTAACTTTATATGTATCTCAAGAAGAAATATAGCTATGTATAAAAGAATGAAACTAGGGAAGAAGGTTTTTGTTTTGTTTTGTTTTTTGGAGGGGGAACCTTTGGATAAGGATGAAAGTAGGGAGATGCAAAAGTGATATTGTGATATTATCAACTGCTCAGATGAGAAAATGAGTGACAAATTTCTAACATGGATTACAAAGGTGGCATGAAGGCAGCCTATACCAGTAATATTTTTCTTTCAACTTTCTTGTAGGGGAGCTGATGAATTGCTGTCTTGTTTCTCTCAAAACTTTAATTAGAT